GTGGCCTGTTCTAGCTCGGCTTGCTGAAAAGTATCATTAACTCGACCGGCCAAGTCAAAATAGTCTTTTTCAGGCTTACGTTCTAGCTTGAAACATTCATAACGTCGATTGAATAACGACCTTGTAAAACAGAACAATGCATTCAAATGCTTGACTGTGTCCTTAAACGAGACATCTGATGGTTTTTGAGGCAGAATGAACTTTACGTACCGCTCGTGTTCCCGCTGGGCCAGTTTTAGCAGAATGATTTCCACTTTCGTCTTGTCGTCCAGTTCTGTTCCCTTCTCTTCGAACAGTCCTTCGTACTTTCGAAACTAGGCTTCGAAATTCACGCCTCCCTCTGGATCGTAAACGAACTCGGTGATCCGTTGTTCGATCTGTTTCCTCTTGTTCTCTCTGGATGCCGGTCCCCAATTTCGCTGCATTTCCGTGAGTAATGCCATGAAGCTGGCCTGCTGGGCCTCCAGTATGTGTTTCATTTGTTCTTCTGATATCATTTTGCTGCACCTGCGTCGCCAGTTGTTATGACCCGGTAGGAAGGTAGGACAGGAAGAGAGCCGGTTCGGAGGAGAAGCACTTTATTGGAACTTGCGGACGGGAGAGAGTTCAACTCGTAAGAATGGTGTGCTATTTATTGGCTCCCGTGCGTTCTGGAACATTCCGTCCAATGACGTGCCAGTCGTAGAGGGCGTTCTAGAATGTTCCTGTCCCAAGCGTGCTGGTCGCTGATTGGCCACCGCGTGCGCGATAGCCCCGCCGCGGAAACGTCTGGAATGTTCGGCCATCCATTGATTGGGCCGCACACGTGAGCAAAGCCACCACGCCTGCTCGGCGCTGCAGTGCGCGCCGGTCGGTTGTCTAACTTCGCGCGTGACTCACGTCGCCGACTTGGTCCTTTGTTTGGCGCCTTAGGCCGTGGCTCTACGCCGCCTTCGCTCTCCATAACAACTCCCATCCTTGCCACCGAGCCCAATGCAACCAATGACCACAGAGTTTCCTGGTGAGTGAGTCGAACTAGACATCATTGGGCAGCCTCCTATCTCTGTCCGCGGATTTGAGTACGTCCTTGTCATGGTGAACTTTTTCACCAAATGGTTCGAGGTCGTCTCTCTTCTCCGACAAGACGCCACGTCCGCCGCGAAGGCTATCACTCGCACACGGATAAGACGATGGGGTGCTCCCTTACCGTTCCATTTAGAGTGTGACAGCAACTGCGACTCCCAGTTGTTCAAGCATGTTTCTGATACGCTTCAGATCCGTGAAACACGGACCAATCCATACCAACCGGAAGGAAACGGCCTTGTGGAGCGAACGAATTGCACATCACCGGGGTTCCATCTATTCCTTCGCCGGTCTCACCTCCACTATCTTTAGATCGGATGTGACATGCGCCTCCCGATAGACCTCCCGTACCTCT